ACAGAAGAACTAGGGACCACCCCTACAGCCTGGAGCCCACTGATATTACTCAAACTATCCAATCCTAACCCTGTTTAGATTGCTTACCCTGCCTTGCCCATTACTTCCCACATTATTGCCCATGTGTGTAAAAATCACGATAAAGCTTCCCACCCTCAATCTCTCTGCCTGCTCATTTTACCTTTGTGCTTCTCTGAACAGCCCTGCGTGGCATGCCACACCCCCTGTTTATCTGGCACCGTGAGTACAATAAAAACTTCTTCCTTCATGCTAATCATTTTCATGTCTGTGTGTCTTACCATACCTGATTAAAACAAATCCCATGGACCATTAAAACAATTAATTCCTCAACTGCTGAATCCAGAAAGTTCTCAAAGTCAAGTGAATTATTTGACCTTGAAGCCCACTCACGAGGTGCCTTACATTTCTACATCAACCCTCTTTTTCCCCTATGCAGGTAGCCACCTCAAGGGCCACTACCAAAGTGTCACTTCTGAAAAGGGCTATGCAGAATTTTCTGTGACTCCAAAGGTCATTACTAGAGCTCTGACATAGTCCATTCTTACCAGTGGACTCTTCAGTTTACCATGAAATGTAACATATGCTCCATGAGGGCAGAGAGCTCTGCCTATCTTACCCACTGCCATATCTCTAGCACCTAAAAGTGTGCCTGACATATACTAGGTACTCAATAAATGTGTCTAATAAATGAATAAATTGTACAAGAATAGGTACACATTGGTATAGATGGCCTGTGGATTATAGCTTGAGAAGCAGGAGAATATCAGGACTCCTAAGTGGTAAGCAGCATGGCATCAAGTTAAGGAAATGGGTTCTAGAGTGAAACCAGAGGTTAAATCTCTATCATTTGATGATGTGCTGTCTTGGATAAATCACCTAACATCACAAAGGCCCCATTCCTTCATCAATAAAAACTGGGAAGACAGAATCTACCTCAGAAGGAAAGGAGTAAACAGGATGGCCACGTAAAACATTTACATTCTGGTCAAGACGGCAATGTAAACTCATTTTACAGGGTCCCACACCATCATCCCCACACTCCCATTTGAAACACATAGCAATGATAGAGGAAACATGTTTTTAAAAGAAGAGTAAAATTAAAGAGTGATAACCTCAATAAAAATCGTGATAAACATCTCCATGAACCAGCAACAACAGAAACTCTAAGTGGTACACAGATTTGAAGCTATAGGCAAAGGAGGCTGGAGGTCAACCTCCAAGGGGTACAGGTGCTCCCACTGGAGATAAAAAGGCAGACAGAAAGGTCTGTTCCCTGCCTGAAACCGCGACTCGGACCAGGCGTGCAGCCTCGAGTGCACATCACTCACTTTATCAGAGCACTGTCATGTCTCCAGTAGCTCACTACATCTGAAAACTACTGTTGCCTTTTAAAAGGTTCCCTTCTAGACTGCCCCTGACTTACAAAGGCGGGCAGCAGGTCTCCTCACATACTCTTCTTTCACGCCTTCTGAACTCTCTCACCTCTATGCTTTCTTCCAAGCCATTTCGTACTTACAGACTATCTTCACACAGTATCCCTTCTGTGATTTAGCATGTCTTAATAATTCTACCTCTTCTAAAGGAAACCCCTCCCAATTATTTACACCTTGATAAGTATTTACCTTCAAATCCTCATAAACCATCTCTTTATATGGCACTAAGTTGCAGAAAGTAGTAATGAAGTTACTGAATTCTCAGAATGAACCATAGAAATTACAACCTACCTTCTAAAGCTAGAGACAGAGAGAGAACATAAGCATAAATAAAAGTAATGTAAGTTCATTACTCATTCATATTTACTATGCAAAATGAAAGTTTTACGAAGCTTTGAATAATATATATTTGTTCTATTATATAGGCAACTAATCCTCTGTAGTTAGTAATGTATCAGTAACAGCATCCTCCCTAATCTAGAATTTCCGGACACGAGGAGAAGGTATTGAAACTTCCTCTGTGGGAGGTAGAGGACCACGGCCTCTGACGGACTTTCCTATTGCAGGACAACTAGACCTGAGATCAGTGACAGCAAATGTAATTCTCAAAACATTTCTGGGCTTGGGAGGACAGAGGGAAACTAACAAGAGATTTAAAAATCAGTTGGAGAGAAAGTAGGAGGGAAGGAGGAAGGTGGGAGAAGTAACCCAAAATCCTATCTGTAAGCAAAAAGCTCAAGAAAATCAACGCAGGGTGCCAGAGAGCTACTGCCCATTCCACATTAGGATCTATAAATGTCTGTGCCCTCCAGACCCCACTCCCTACCACATCATATGTTTGAGGAACTGAACCTGAGATTCCATTGATAAACCAGGACCCTCAAATGGAGCCAAAGTGATCCCAATCAAGAGCACTCTCAGACTCCCACCAAAAGCAAAGACAAGCCTTCCAAGATTAAAGAGATTGAATCTCTGTTCAATTAAATTTGATCTCAAAATCCTATCACATAACATGCAAGAGAAGAAGCCATTGTGAGAGACAGCAGAAATAACCAACAGATTTAGACCACAAAACACTTCAGATATTAGAATAATCAGACACAGAATATGAAATATTATGTTAAATGTTTAAGAAAATAAAAGATGTCTAAAAATGAACAAGGATCAGGGACTATCACAAGCAACCAGCCACACGTGACTACCAAACCAAAAGAAGTTAAAACATGAAAAAAAAAAAGTCATTGAAATTTAACACTCAATAGAATAGTTAAGAAGCAGATTAGACCCAAATGAAGAAAGTGAGTGCACTGGAAGAAGGAACTGAAGAAATGTCCCAGAATGTAACACAAGGAGACAGGGGAAGAGAGTATAAAAGCAAGCTTAAGGGACACGAGGATAGATCAAGAAACTTAAGTAGGAATCCTAGAAAGTATGGCCAGAAAGAATAGAAATGAGTCAGCATTTGAGAAGACAGCAGCTGAGAATTTCATAGAAATGATAAAAGATTTGAATCCAGAAAACAGGAAGCACATACACACCAAGCACGATAAGAAATCTTCAACTAGACATTTTGTGGTGAAACTGCAGAATACCAAAGACTAAGACAAAGATTTTAAGAGAAGCCAGAGAGAAAGGGCATTTAAAGGGACAACAATTAGACTGAGAACAGGGTTTAAAACTGTTGCAATGGCAACTGGAAGATAGTAAAATAATACCTGCAAAGTGTGACACAAATACTATCACTACTATTACTATTACTACTCATAATGTGTCTAATACAAATAATTGTTTGAAGACAGCAAAAATTAATACAGAGCAGATAAAACTGAAGAGATTTATGAAGAGTCACAATAAGTTTTAAAACTTTGGTGATAAGTATAAATTCTTAGAATTCTTCAAATTCTTAGAAAAACATATAATTTACCAAGCCTAAATCAAGAAAAAATGGAAAACTCAAATAATCCTAAAATAATTCTAAAACTATTGAAGAAATTGAATGAGTGGTTAAAATCCTCCCATTAAAAAAACAAAAACAAAAAAGCACCAGTCTCAGATGGTTTTTACAGCAATGACTGAAAAACATTCTAGGCACAGAACATTCCAATCTCATACAAACTATTTTATACAACAGAAAAAGAAGAGGGGCCGGCCCCGTGGCCAAGCAGTTAAGTTCATGTGCTCTGCTGCGGCGGCCCAGGGTTTCGCCGGTTCAGATCCTGGGGGTGGACATGGCACCGCTCATCAGGCCATGCTGAGGCGGCGTCCCACATGCCACAACTAGAAGGACCTGCAACTAGATTATACAACTATGTCCTGGGGGGCTTTGGGGAGAAGAAGGAGGAAAAACAAAACAAAACAAAGAGTGGCAAGAGATGTTAGCTCAGGTGCCAATCTTAAAAAAAAAAGAGTATGGGCTTTATCATCATGCTTCAAAACTTGCATGTGTTATAGATCCTTTAGTAAACGCATCAACTATTACACAAATAAAGTAAATTAATAGAATAGTCGAAACAAATGGTGGTCAGTAGATACACATTTAAGTGATAGACTTAAAGCTTCTGTTAAAAACAACTCCTCTGCACAGGTTTCATTCACAGGAGGGTTACCACAGGAAACACAACAACCACCGCAAAATACGCAGTGAATCAATGTCTGTTATTCTGGTGAAGGAGGACAGTCCTCAAAGGAGAGAAAAGGGAACCATAGTTATCAAGCGCCAGCTATGAGCCGAGCCCTGGGCTGGAGGTTTCCATATGTGTTTTATACCACAAACCCAGAAAGCCCATGGAGAGCCATGGCCTCCCTCTCCAGCCAGCTCTGCAGCAAATACATATTAGGCTTTTCCTTCACAGCCATAAAGTTGATCCCGCATCAACCTAAGTACATGTCTCTTCAAACAATGAATAATTTCTAGATAACCAACAATTAACTTTCAGAACCTATAATTTGCTTCTAGTGTAGTTTTCAAGGTATGGGTATTCCGGCCACTGATCTAATACATTTGGACAAGAGAGACTTTAAGCTTAATAGATCAAAAACCACACCCAAACACTATTCCAAATTGAAGAGAACATACGATCTACACACAAGGACACATAAACACATAAAAAGATTGCAACCTCACTAGTAGTCAGAAAAACATTTATTAAAAACAGTAAGTTTTTATATGTCAGTTTGCATATATTACAAACACAAATCATCTCCACTGTTGGTTACAGAAACTGATATAAGACTTACATATAGTTTACATGTAAGCTTATATGACCTTTTTGAAGAGCAATTTGTCAATATCAGTTATTTAAAATGTGCATACGTTTCCATCTAATAATTTCAAGTCTAGGTATCCTTACAGGAAAAATTCTCCCACATTTGCAGAAAAAAAAAAATCACAAGAACCTTCTTTGCAGCATTGCTTGTAAAAGCAAAAGGAAGGAAGGAGGAAGGAAACACACGTCCATCATTTTTGTTTTGTCTGCAAGTTAAAGATTTAAAATACCATATTTTTGACAAGAATCTTAAAAGCTAAATGAATTAACAAAAACTTACTTCAAAAAGAAAGAGGATGGAGTCCAGCTCCTCCCTTTGTGACTTATTATTCCCTGGAATACAGGAAAAAAAAATTAGTTATTATGACAATGTGTAAATTTTAGGATATTAAAAATTATGTTAAAAGGTATCTTAAAACATTTAAGCCTCAACATACATTCATTTATTCAAAAAATACTAGGAGGTAATGTGGAGCCCGTGTTAGGAATGCAGATGGACAACTGAGCCAGACTGTCTGGGTCCAGAATCCAGCAGAACTGCTCCTTGCTAAGTGTTTTAACACAGATTCCATGTTTCCCAAGTTGTTAACAACCTGTGGCAGGTAATTTATTCATTTCTCAATTAGTTACTTATGAGCTCAAATTATGATAGAACACCCAACAAAAATAAAAAGTTCTAGCTTTGTGACACAAAGAGGCATAGACCAGTAATAACTATAAAAAGTCATATACCTCTTCAGGCAATTGCACACTGTCCTTTTGATAATAACAATAATAAAACTACAACACTGATAGCAGCAGTTATGACTTACTGTCCAGTCTCTATGTACCAAGCACTGTGCTAAGTGCCTGGCACATATCACCTAACTTAGGAATCAGTAAACGTTTTCTGTAAAGTGCCAGATAGTAAATATTTTAGGCTTTGCAGGCCTCTCTTGCAACCACTCAATTCTGCTGTTATAGTACAAAAGCAGCCATAGATAATACACAAATGAATGGGGCTGACTGTGTCCAACCTTTATTTATAAAAACAGGCAGCGACCTATAACCTGTGGACCCCTAATCTAACTGAATCCCCACAGCTCTATAAAGTGGATGTCATTCATTCACTGAACAAGTACTAAAGAATGTCTCTATGTCAGGAATTATTCCAGAACCTGAGGATACAAGAGAGAACAAAACAGAACAACCCCTACACCAAGGGAGCTTACATTCTGGCAGGAGGAGGCAGTCAACAATGAGTAAGTGAGAAAACCACGAAGGAAGGCAGATGGGGAATGCCAAAAAGGGTAGTTTGCAGTTTTGACTAGGGAAGTCCAGGAACATCTTGCTGATAAGATGACATCTGAGCGGGGCTGGCCCCGTGGCCGAGTGGTTAAGTTCGCATGCTCCGCTGCAGGTGGCCCAGTGTTTCGTTGGTTCAAATCCTAGGCGCGGACATGGCACTGCTCATCAAAACACGCTGAGGCAGGGTCCCACAAGCCTACAACTAGAAGGACCCACAACGAACAATATACAACTATGTACTGGGACTTTGGGGAGAAAAAGGAAAAAAATAAAATCTTAAAAAAAAAAGATGACATTTGAGCAAAGATCTAAAAGACGTAAGGAAAGAAGCCATATGGAAATTTAGAGGAAATGTGCCCCAGGCAGAGGGACTGGACAGTGCAAATTCCCTACAGCTGAGCAGGTTTGGCACAGTCAGGAAACAGCGAGAAGGCCCTTGTGTCTGGAACAAAGGGGGAGAGTTGTGGCAGGTGAGATTAGAGAATGGGTGAGGTAAAGGAAGGCAGGTAGGTAAGGTCTGAAATCACTGTAACGACTTCAAGAATGAGAAGCCATTTAAGGGTGTGGAGCACTGAGAGTTGTGATTTGACTCACATTTTAAAAGCATCACTCTTGCTGCTCTTTTAAAGAGATTTTGGGTAGGGGGGTGCAATGCGGAGGAGGGAAGACTATTTCTGAGGCTACTGCAGTAATCCAGAGGAGGATAATGAGAACTTCAGCATTTCCAGTATAGGCAATGAGAAGAGGCCAGTGATGATTGATGTATTATGAAGGGAGAGACAGTAACTCAGGTTTTGGCCTGAATAACTGGAAGGCTGAAGTTATCACATGATTATTTCACTATTCCTAGTAAACATTTTCCTTTATTCTTTTGTTTTAGTACACTTTCTGCCATACACTCTAATCAAAACACAGATTTTATTAAAAGCAAGAAACTTCAAAATCTCACTCTGTTTTTATTGGTTCTTCATTATGATTCTTTGCGGTAGACTGCAAAAGTGCAGAGTTTCTCCCCTCCCATCAAGAGATGTCAATTTCTTCATGCCTTAAATCTGACATGCCATGTGACTTGTTCTGGCCAAAGTGACATTAACAAATGTGAGACAAGCACAAGCTTTAAAAGCCTTATGCATTTACTGAGCTTGGAGCCCTAAGGCCACCATGTGAAGGATCCCAAGATAGCCTGCCTGCTGGAGAAAAGGGGTCACCTGGAGAACCAAGGTGCCCTAGTCAATAGCTTGCCAACCACAAGACACGTAAACAAGACCATCTGCCACCAACTGCCATCAAAGGCATGAACCAGCCTAAACCAGAAGAACTGCCCAATAGACCCAGAAAATCATATGCTAAATGACTGGTGGTTGTTTTAAGGCACCCAGTTTTAGAATGGTTTGTTATGTAATTTGTTATGCATCACAAACTAACCGATACAGTCTTGAACAGCTACACTTTTGAAAAGGATAGAGGGAACAAAAAGGGGAAGAGGGAGGGAGGACTCTTTAAAAACAAGGTTTTTAGGCTGTAGAGGTTTGGGTTTTTTTTTCAGATATGGGGTTTAAACTTTTTTCTTTGCTATTTTGACTACACATAATATCACACTTTCTTACTCCACACACTTTCAAACAAAAGTGAAGTGGAGCAAAATTAGGAAGCAAAATAAAAACCAGATCATTTCATACATGAAATATCTGCAAATTTGGGGGAAAAAATTTAAATTTATAAATCACAGGAGAAAAAGCTAAAGAACTCATTAAAAAAACATTTGGCATCCTGGACACACACCCATATATGACTTGATGACCTACTAGAGCCTGGTGCATTCTGTAAGACTCTGAGCCACCTGCTATACGTCAGAGACCACCACAGTGCCTCACCCCAAATTCCTTCCCCTCCAGCTTGCCATTCGCCTCAGGTTCTACAGAAGCAATCAGAGCATCTACACACTCCTCTCCATGTTCTCTTCTTTACACTTGATCCTGTCTCAACCCACTTCTGCCAACCCATTGCACCATCAGTTATCTCCCTTTCCTCAGCCCTCAAACAGGCAAACACATCCTTTAAAATCTTCCCATGATCAAGCTACTCGTTGAGATACAATCCTTTGTCTCCATTACCAAACTTCTGGGAGGGTATTCCCACCTATAGCCTTCACTGTCTCACCATCCAGTTACTCCATCTCTCTCTGTCTGGCTTCTGATCCTACTACTCCCCTAGAATTTTTCTTTCAGTAGTCAGTGGCAACCTCCTCAACGCACTATCATTTCCTAGTCCCACTGCCCCTCAACTTTTTGCATCATCAAGCATTGCTGATCTTTCATTCACTGAAATTCTTCTCTGGGCTTCTGCGACAAAACACTTTCCTGGGGCACACGCATGCCCACGCCCACACCCACAACCACACCCACAACTCCTTTATCTCTCCTTAATCTACCCAGTAAAAGAAGGAGTTACCCCAAATCCCTGACTATCACTCTCTTTCTCTACATATCCTTTCTCCCTTGGCAATAGCATGACTGCATCTCTCTTCTCCCAAACTTCAGAGCCTATATTTTTACTGCCCAGCCACAACCAACACCTGGGTGTCCCACAGGCACCTCAAACTCAGAGCACCTCAAACTCAGATTGCTCAAAGCTGCACTCATCCTCTTATCTCCCAAACCTAGCTCCCCGCCAGGGTTCCCACTGTTGTAATGGCAGCTTATGAACCAGACTCAACATCCTGAAGCATCTTTGACTTCTCCCTCCTGTATTCCTTCTCCTTATATTCAAGTCTCATGAATGGTGAACCCATTGAGACACAACACTTTCTCTGCTCTTAACTGCCACCTCCCTGGATTAGGCATCACCAGCTCTCACAGGGATGACAGCATCAGCCTCCTAATTGGTCTTCCTGCCTCTGGTCCACTTACCACATTATAAGACACTGTCTTAGTAGCAAACATTTTCAAAAGCTCTAACTACCTAAAGAACAAAGTCCAAACTTCTTAGCCTGGAGTTCAAAGCTCCTTGCAAGTCTAGCATAATCTGATTTCCTGCAAGTCTCTTTCACACATCTTACATTGCAAGAAAAAAAAAATGCTATCTCCCCACATGCCCTAAACACAGGCTCCTGGCTCTCGCTCATTTTCTACCCTCCATCTGCAGTGCCCTTCTCCTCCACTTGAAATCCTACATCGCCTTCAAGGTCCATCTCCAAGGTCACCTTGTCCCCAAAGCCTCACTCATATGCTCAACAAGAAGTCATCTCTCCCTCTCCCCAACAACCATAGCACTTTGTGTATATCTCTCTTATAGAACATCTCACTTTCTAACTTGTTTCATAGTTAACTACGCATATGGCTTATTCTGAGACCAGTCCACAATCACTACCACCACCACTCCCCCATGAAACATGTTCAGCATCTGATACATCTCTGGATTCCTCAAGGACTTTAACATAGTGCATTGAACATTGTCAGCATTCAATACTGGGATGGGTGAATAAACGAAGGATTAAACAGAAGAGAGACACAGAGCTGCCAGAGGCAGGGTCCAAAGGCTGAGCCCTGAGAGGCACCAGCAGCAGAGGCATGCTTTGAGATGCTAAAGCACGTATGGTCTATGCCACAGGTATAAGACACTCTTATCTGTAGGTGAGCAACACAGACTACTGACAACAAAGATGACATTTCAGCATGTGTCTGGTTGACCTAGCATCAGTGTTTTTTTTTTAATAGGAGAAACACAAAACAGAACAGTGGTGTTCAAACTTGAGAGCACATCAGTATCATCTGGAGAGCTTGTTAACACAAAGTGCTGAGTTGCATCCGCAGAGTTCCTGATTCAGTAGGCTTATTAACAAGTACCCAGGTGATACCCATGCTGCTAGTGCAACAACCAGGCTTTGAGAACCACTGGTACAGAAGGAGCTCTGAACTTAGCATCAAGAAAGCTGGCTGCATTTCTGGCTATGCAATTAAATAATCTGTGTGGCCTTAGGCCAGTAATATAACCTGTCTGGACATGGTTCTCTCAAATCTAAAATGAGGAGTGTGGACAACCCAATCTCTTGAGCCCCTTCCAACCTTAAAACTCTGATTCTGACCCAGTCACTCAGAAGTCACTTATCCAGAATTATGGCATTTCTATTCAATGCAGTACTATGTAACTATTTAAAACTGAGGTAGAAATAAATGTGCTAACATGTAAGAATTTCCAAAACAGACTACATGAAAACGAAAGATGATGATCACAGCAGCTAACACTTACTGAGCACATATGATGTGCCATACTCTGTCCTAAAACCCCAGGACCCGTTTAATGCAGACAGGAGGGAGCTTCAGAAAGACGTTAAGTAACTTGCCCAGGGAAAAACAGCTGGAAGGGTAGGGCCAGGATCAAACCCAGTCTGGCTCCCCAGGCTACACTATCCTGCCACCTAAATACAAAGCAGAAAGCACAGTGTGACCTTATTGGCTTGATTTTCTAAGAATATTTTATGTAAGTATACATGGGCATAACCATAAACATATATAAACATAATACATTAATAACATATATAGAAAGAAATACAGAAACTTAATAGTGGTTGCTTCTGAAGAGTAGGACTGGAGGTCTGGGCAAAACAGACACGTCAGTTTTCATTTCAAATCCTTTAATAGAGTCTGAGTTCTTTATATAGTGTGCATATATTAATTTTCTTTCTTTCTTTTTGAGTAAATTATTCCTTTGGAATTCATGCCTTCTGTAGGTTTCTTCTTTTTCTGTTTTCCCTTTAGCCATTTGCCGTGCAATTAACACCTGTAGAAGAGAAAGCTCAAGGGAAACAGATGCCAGCCACTGTGATCTCGCAGCTCTGCTAAGGGCTTGGCAAGAAAGAGGGCTCAAAGCATATCACTTGTGGCTCTGGACACATACAACCTCCAAAAACGTCCTGAATATTTTTTTAAAAAAACCTTGTATATAAAAAAAACCTTGTATATATAAAACCTTGTAGAAATGCTTACCTTTTAATTTCAAACTATTTTCCAGTGTTATAAAATTTTCATAGAAGATGAAATATATCTGAGAATAGTTGGTCTCAAAAAACTGCTTAAGATCACTTGTATCCACATTATCTGAAAAGAAAAAGTTTTCATTTATGACAACAACCTTATACAATTATCAGAATTCACAAACAACCTTTTCAGAAATTAAGGAAAATAAAAACTAGCTTTATTCTCTTATGAGACAAAACAAAACAAGAAAACAGTATTTCCATTCATTTAAGGGAGCTCTGAATTGGCCAGGCGCCGTTCCTCCATGTGCAGACCCCTGCAGGAGACTGACTCAAGATCAGAGCCACAGGGGCATAGCACTGACAGACCAGCTAGAGGGGCAGCAGCAAGTGAGGGTCTGGGGAGGGACAAGATGACTTCCTGTTAGGGAACGGGAAAGTAGAAGTTCATGGAGGACGCGGCTTCTGACGTAGGCCAACAAGGGGTATGGGTTTGTTTGTCTGAAAAACAACTTTGCGGGTGGAGTTCCACATGGCCCAGTCTCTTCTCTCTCCCTGCTGACATAAAACCAGCTGAAGAGAACCAGCAGGTACTCCCCACCATACCCACCCACTTTCATCTGGGCCACTGGTCACCACCTTCCCTCCAGCTTCTAGGTGACCTGTTCTGCTCTGTTTGGACACGCAGGGCCCAGCACATGTTCCTAGAGTCGCCTTGAGCAGTGTTTCTCCTTCTTGCACCAGATTTGCTAAACCAGGTTCTTCGGGTAGATAGGCTGTGCAGGGAACTTAGCCCAATGACAACTCCTGCTGGGGCCAGGCAGCAATACAGCCACTTCTTCCTGGGGCCCCAATCATTCCTCGCAACTCGGGTCAGAGCAGTTATCCACTGTCAACGCACCTTTGTACATTTTCCTTAGCAAACAAGTTGTTCGTGCCATTTACAATGGGGTCCTGACCAAGGTGTCGGCTCTTTGGAAGAATACACTAGTAACCGTAGGAAAATTAAAAACAGCTTCCCTTAAAATTCTACATGGATTACTCAAGGAAAAAATGTGTTGCTATTCAATCTGTAACAGAACGGTATCAGTTGCTTTTGGGGTCTAATACTGTGAATATATGTGAACACACCCATTACTATTTTTTAAATTCTATAAAGTTAACACTCATGCTGGTGAATCTAAAAAGTCGTTTTTGAAAACAACTAGCTAGATAGGGCCTTTAGAGAAGTAAAGGCCTCTAGATATGCAGATGGGGTCTTTCATGCAAAAATCTGCCCTCGTTCTTTGAAATAATGCACACAAGGTGTTTTATAAAGTCATATGAGCTGCCAATTTAACATTCGATTTCCTGCCCTAAAACAGAACCGAGCACAGAGCAGTGGAAGTTCCTAGTAACTAACAAACTGATCTGTGTGAAAGCAAGTAACAATGAAACTAGTATCATTAACCCACATGAATATTACCATTCTAAGGAGCCACACAATCTTGCCAAGCAATCCTTGAGTGCCTTCCGCAGAATGTGCCGGTTCCAAGAAAGGGTTTTGTTCATTTTCGCTCCGATACACACTGCTAGCCCATCCACCACTAACTGTTCCCTCTGAAGCACGCTTCACCCAGCTGGCCTCTACTCACCACTTGCTGGTCAGCTCAAACATCCCAGCCTACCCCAAGACTAGGTGAGTTGCCTCTGCTATGTGCCCCACCCCACTGTTCTGCCCTGTCATAGAAGGTGTTATATTTACTTAACTCCTGATGGAATTCCGACTTACTCCTACTGGAATGATCTGTCTTCTCTGCCAAAGATACTCCCTACCCTCACAGAATTCCCAGTCTATCTCATGCATAATTATGTCCCCTACATGTAGTACAGTATTTAGTTCAATATTTTCTTGAATGAATTGAATAAAAGAAACAGCCTATAACATACAATGAGAGGATAATAACCATAACTTGTAAACCATTAGATCATATGCCTACAGGAAAGAAACGGCCTAATCCTCCTTCAAATCCTTGAGGCTATCAAGAGAGAAATTTCATACCTCTGCCCCAGACTCCCGATTTCTATCTGTTGCCCTGACACTCCCCTCGCCCCTGGCGATCTCTACTCTCACAGCCTGCTACCAGCTGGATCTCTCCACGTAAGGGTCCAAAGGCTTCTCAAATTAAACATGTCTAAAGGGAAACATTGTTCTCCCCCTCAAATTCAGTTCTTCCCTCAGGAACCACCATCCATCCAGCTGCTCAAGCCAAAACCTAGACATCATCTCGGGTTCTTCTTGCTCCTTCACAACCCATCTGCAGTGTGTCAGCTCCAGCAGGTTCCAGTCTTGGGCCGCTTCTCACCCTCCAAAGCCCTGCCTGGCAAACGTAGCCATGAATTCTCACCCAGGCTGCAACCACACCCACTGCCTGGGCTCCCTGCTTCCACTCCTCCCCTCTGCAGTCCATTCTCTACACTGCAGTCAAACGAAAATTTAATAGTATCAATCAAATCAGATCATTCCTTTACTCAAAACCTCCCAACAGCCTCCCAGAGTACTTAAAATAAGATGCAAACTCTTCACCAAGGCCTGCAAGGCTCTGCATGATTCCCTCCATTCAATGCCAGCTTCATTTCACACTACTGTCTCCTTTACGCCCTGTACTCCAACCACTGCAGCGTCTTTCCATTCCCCAAACTTCCCAAATGTGTTCCCAACTTGGGGCACCTCCAGTATGCTGCTGCCACCCCTAGATCTTCATACAATTCATTCCTTCTCATCCTTCAGAACTGGGATCACACATCACCTCCTCACAGAAATCTAAAGATGTCCCTTATGTCCTTCTTCACATTTCATCATATCACCCTGCCTTCTTCCTTTATAGACTCTGCGACAGATAGACACCCAACTGCTCACCAGTAAGTGGGCCTCAGACACAGAATTTCCCTGGCATCAAGGATGTGGGTGCACTGATGGAGCAAGATGGTACAGAAAGGTCACTGGGCAATCAACAACTCCCCCATCTTCCCCACGCCTCCCTTGGTCCCTCAGAGACACTTAAATATCAGCAACCTGAACAAAGAAGGTCCCTGTCAAGGTTGAGCAGCCCTCCTATAGACTGAGATGCTCTCATGAAGCCAAAAGTCCAGGTAACAGCCGCCTTCTTCCTCAGCTATTCACTATCTTTCTTGTGGATGAGGCATGGATGGTGCTGAGCTTAAAATACTAACAAGACAATTAGACACCTTCAAGGTAAGCCAATATACAGTGAAACTAAGAGCACAACATCTGTAATGTACTCAGTTTATTTACAAGTATGAGAACTTCTCATTGGTCTGGGAGTCCTCTTCACATGATTCTCCCCTACAGCACTTAAGATCAATTGAAATTATCTTATTTATTCATTTATTTCTTCATTGACTGGCACTCTACTAGAATGGAAGCTGCATAAGGGCAGGAATCTCATCTGTTTTGTTCACTGCTGTAGTCTCAGCCCCAGGAACAGAGCTTGGTACTTAACACATATTTGTTTAATGAATAAACAAAAAGTAAATATCAAATATTTTACTTCTCTAATTCAAAATCTAGAATGATTCCTTGATTTGTCTTACTTTTGAAGCACAAGTCTCATCAGATGATTATTTATAAAGTAAGCATAGATCCTGGGGAAGGCAACCATAGGCACTGGAATTTAGCATCCTGGAAAAGGGAACACAAGAAAGCATCAAAGGGCTGCTTTTTAACAAGGTTAACTTCACTTTGTTCAGGGATATAGTAGGAATGCTTTGTTCACGAAAAAAAAAGAAGACTATGACCACAAACTTCCTTTAGACATTCTTCACCTATTCATTCAAATATTTCTGAGGCCCTCCCCATGCCAACTAGCCCTGTGCAGAGTGCAAGGAAATTCAAAGAGATTAAAACACAGGGCCCTCAAGAATACACAGGTAAACAAATAAGTAACAGGAAAGGCACCATGACTGAAGCTGAGGCATCAAAGCAGGAAGTGGACAAGGCCACATGGGGAGGTTGGGAATATTAATAATGCTATACATTTATGTTTTAAAAGCACTTTCATGAACTTATTTTATTTGACCTTCACCACAGCCCCGTGACGTAGATGGGGCAGTTGTGATCAAGATAAAGAAACCTGAGGTTCAGAAGCTGAGGCAACACAGCCAGCCAGGAATGTGGGCAGAACTGTCTGGGTCTTCTGACTCAAACCTAAGCTATACAAAGGCCTCAGAGACAAGTGGGAATAAATGAAAACAAGAAATCAGGTCAGGAATATAAAAAAATAAGTCATCACCTTGGGGATGTGCAGGAAAGCCAGATGAAAAAGAGCAGGAGGAAAAGAAGACACGTAAGAAACGAGGGGAGTGAGCGGCACTGAAGATGGGAACTGCTGAGTTCCCAAGAAGGAGCTCACAGTGACCTCCCCACAGCCTCGTGGAGCCAGTAAGGAAGAGAGGAGAAGGGAAAGCCCTGAACTCCAGAGCCCAGATGGTGAGCCGCCTTTGAGGTGATGGTCTTCAGTGTGGGTGGCACATCACGGGCCCACCGCCTCACTATAATCACAAAACTCAAGGAAGTGAGTTCAAGTTAACCACAGGGAAGCAAGCAGCAGACAGCTTAGCAGAGCTAGGGGACATTCCTGAATTTTCAAAGAAATCTCCTTTAATTTCTCATTCTCCTTCACCATCAACCAAAACCCAATAAACTGTTTCTATTATTTTCCCATTACATTTCAAAAATAATCTTTTAGATTCCACACTAAAACCTACTCTCTCCCGGCCCTTTGTCCAGCTGAACCTTTTGTTGACGACTATTTCTCCACATCCAGCTGAAAGGCAACAGCAAAGGCTGAGGGCAAAACCTTCAGAGCCGACTGCCTGGGTTCAAGTTCAGAAACTACAGGACCTTGGACAAGTTATTTGAACACCCTGTGCCTCAATTTCCTCATCTGAGAAATGGGGCTGACAATGGTTCTTTCATCACAGGACTGCTATGACAAAGAAATGAGCATACGCAAGGTGCTTATAAGACTGTCAGCCAGGATTATATAAATGTTGGTTGTTTTACAACTATTTAGCTCCTGGCAAAGGCCCTCTCACTAGGTGGGATTAACCCACCTACCT